ATCAGAATCCAAGTAATGTCTATCATATCATGTTACGTAACAAATAGATAGCAATTATCGAGCAAGGTCTGGTAAATTGTAAGCTAACGGCAGACAGTCAGCAGAAATCAAACATAATGCAGTATCATATGGCAACAGTATAAGCACGGCAAAAACGCGACACGATCTGACATATCAAGTACGGACGGCAAAGTTATAGCAAAACTCAAGCACGGTCATAACGTGTTGGCATAAATGCGACAAACCTTATCTGCCTTATCAAGTGTTGAAGGCAAAAACATGGCAAAAATCGAGCATAATCTAATATCGAATGTAATTGCAAGAATACAGCAAACATACAGCACTAAATAACATACTCTTGAAAAATTAAATATTTTTAATCAGGGAAATAAATATAAATTAAATATATGTATATGTCTAAACAGATATTAAATTTATATTTCCCTAATGTATTATATTTGTTACGTACTTGCTATTATAATATGATCATAGACAATGCTTGAGTTTTTTGTATTTCTGATAGTTTTATGATAGCAAAAATTGTGCTGTAAAAAATTGAATCTAATAAGGAAGTATTTAATTAGAATCTGCGGGAAAATTATGATTGAATTGGCCTGCATGATTTTGCTATCTGAGACGTTGTGAATAAACGCGGCATCCATTCGGAAGCCATTACTACTGGCGATATTAACAACAACAACAACAACGAAAGATTAAAAAGTTATAATAGAATATTAAAAATGTACTGCAAAGTTTTTTTCGACGTTTTATAGTTTGTTTTCACACAAATTTAAATGCACATTAAAAAAAGGATAAATTTGGTGGGTAATCAATAGTTATTAAAAATCTGTCAAAACAAAAAATGTAAATCTCTTCGAAATATTTATTTCACCTTTAATTTTGCCCTATGTTGTTTACGTTTTAGGGGTCAAGTGGCATTCACGACGAAAGATGTTAACTCCCTCATTTAATTTCACTGTATTGCAGCAGTTTACTGAGATCTTGGTAGAGGAAGCCGAGAACATGGCTGAGTCATTGAAAGATACAAGGGGCACAGTTGTAAAAGATTTACTACCATTTTTCAGTGAACATACGCTAAATGCAATATGTGGTATGTATTCGTACATAACTGTACAGTATGTCATTTCTCTTGCTTGATGAATAATATAAGAAACAATACAAGTTTTTTATTGAAAATTTCAATATTATAACGTAGGCCTAGTTTCACCAATGTTGCTTAACTTTAAGCTTAGCTTAATTCATTCTTTGTCTCTTCCTAACTTTACTTTAGAAAGAAGCAAAAGTAAATTAAACTAAGATTAAAGTTAAACGACGTATGGTGAAACCGGGCTTAGCTTAATTTATACTTTCTCTTTCCTTACTTTATTTTTCAAAGAGACAGCCGTGAATTAAACTAAGATTAAAGTCAAACGACGCTTTACTGATGCCTAAATAATGGTATAATGGTATAATAAAAAATAATAAATAATTATACATACAATCACAGATGTACTTGAAACATATATCAAAATATTATACGGATACTTAAACATACGTGTTTGCAGAAACTGCTATGGGCACTTCTATAAAAAGTCTCGGTGAGTTTCAACAACAGTATCGACAAGCGGTTTATCGGATAGGCGAACTGTTTGTTTATAGGTAATTATATTTTGGGTAATTATGCATAAAAGGGGCTTCCTCTCCGATTTGCTTGATTTTTAACCCTAGACCGCACCTCTGACTTTTTTTACCTTCTAACGCACCTATGGGGTCAATATCGACCCCACTTTTTTTTTATTGTAAAACCGGTCCTACAGAGATAAAGGGCCTTAATAATACATGAATTTCTTCGTTTTTTAATAAAGAAGAGAATGGTATGCGATAAATTTAGTTTCACTCAAGTTTAGTTAAGAAAAATCCATTTAAAGACCGAACAATGCAGAAAATCAGCAAAAACCTCATTTTTAACAAAAATTTGTATCTTTTTTGTAATCAACCGATTTTCAAAATTCAAACAGGGTTTTAAAGAGGACACATTAGACTATTGGAAAAAAATTGTCATTGCTATGTTCTGTTCAAAAAGTGTATTTATTTGGGATTATGAAAATGAAGAAATTCGCAAAGTTGAAATATGGAAAAAGTCGAGGAAAAAACCATAAAAAATTGTACACAGATGCAAAAAAAGCGGTACACTAAAAATTTGGGAAAAATTTACCAAATTTCAAGTGATCATAACTTGGTAAATAATGAAGATAAAATTAAATATAAAAATGGAAAATGAAGCTCCAAATGCCCTCTTTAAGAATATATGAATGGCAATTATGCTCGGCAATTTTTTTCAAAATGGCGAATGATAAAGTGAGAGGATTCAAAATTGAGAATCGAACATCTGAGTTTGTGACGGTGCATGGCGTGAATCAGGTACCACAGCGTAATGTAACGAAGTGCACATGAAAGTATGGAGTGCTAGCTTTAAAATACTTGTTTACCGAGCTCGATACGATCATTTTTCGCGGAGTTATGCACATTTAAAGAATAAAGCGCTTTTTTTCTTGTAATGTGCATAACTCCGCGAAAAATGATCGTATCGTGCTCGGTAAACAAGCATTTTAAAGCTAACACTCTATACTTTCATGTACACTTCGTTACATTACGCTGTGAATTCGATACATTACATTACCTGATTCACGCCATGAACCGTCACAAACTCGGATGTTCAATTCTCAATTTTGCATCCTCTCACTTTATCATTCGCCATTTTGAAAAAAATAGCCCAGCATAATTGCCATTCAAATATTCTTAAAGAGGACATTTGTAGCTTCATTTTCCATTTTTATATTTAATTTTATCTTCATTATTTACTAAATTATGATCACTTGAAATTTGGTAAATTTTTCCAAAATTTTTAGTGTACCGCTTTTTTTGCATCTGAGTGTATTTTGTATTATTTCATTTTTATTTGATACAAAATAGTATTATGAAAATTATTAAAAATTATTAAAAATTATGAAAAATTATGAAAAATTATGAAACAGCTGTCGTTAATTTCCCTGCAGTCAAACACTGTCCACGTCGATCCGTCTCCGTGTGCACTCAGGTCTCCCGCGGTATCGGAACCCGCTTCATTATCTTTATCATTTCTCCATGCGACGCCGCAAATGCGCGAGAATTGATTTCCGATACGCGACCGGTTAATCCTAAACTCACCAAACTGAGAAAGTAAATTGTATAAACTGCGAAATTGCATAACACAAATTAACAAAGTGTGCAAATTAGAAATTTGCACATGGCTTCCTCATGGAGGAAGCTTTATGAGCGAAATCTAATTTTTTTCGATGTTTCTTGAAAGTGTGCAAATTAGAAATTTGCACATTGCTCCCTTTGTTATGGCTTCCTCATAGAGGAAGCTTTAAGAGAGAAATCTAACTTTACTACGATGTTTCTTGAAAGTATTCAAATTAGAAATTTGCATATTCTTATTTCGCTCATAAAGCATAACACATATGAACGAC